TGAAAAAGTCATTCCACTGGAAAATGGGAATTTCTGTGTAACAGATGAAGATAAAGTATTCCATATCGAGCAAATGTCACAGCAACAGTATAATTGTTCTTGCAAATCGTTTAAAGAAAATGGAATGCTATGCGAGCATATAGAAGTCGTTTGTGATAATCACAACAAACTTCACAGCTATCTTAAAATTTAAAAAAGCAAGGCAACAAGCCTTTCCAAATGCTATTTAAAAATAGTCCTGAAAGTGCCGGTCACAAACCAGGCTCAAAAAAGCGGCGCGGAAAAAATAATGTTGCAAAGGAGCCAATAATTGCAAAGGAGCTGTAGCACTTTTCTAAAATTGTCCGAATTTCATTTCAGATGGGCAAGTTTCCTTTAAAAACCATTCTCACAGGTGAAAATCAATGCCCCCAACACAAATTTCATGGTTTCGATTCGATCTTGCAAGCAGTTTTAGAGATATGGAGATCGTTTTGTTTGTTTCGTTAAATATAACTTTTTGTTTCGTTTCGTTTTGTCAAATATAATAAGCCGTCCAGCTACAACTGCTGGTGCTTCAGCTACCATTTTGTGATTTTGTTTTGCATTCTCCCAAAGGACCACCATCAGTTCAGAGGATTCCATGTGACAAACAATTTCAGGAGAAGTTGAGAGCCAGCTTGTTTTCCTTCTGGCACAAAGTCTTCATACCTTAGTATTTTGAGATGCGTGTTACAAGAAGACTTCATGCATTTATTGTTTACTTTTTGGATAGAGACAAAATATTTTTTTAATTGCACAATTGTAGCACTACGAAATTCATACTGTAAGTGGTAGAAACTCGGCTCTTTATTGGCAGATTCACGATTTTGTGAATAACAGCAGACAACATCATAAGTGTATAAGGTATTATTGACAAGCTTCAAGAGTATTTATTTCCAATGGCTCAAGCCCCCTAGCCCCCATAAGCCTACCTTGAATGCAAGATTCGTTATATGCAACTTAGAATTTTGGTCAAATCCTAAGTTGCTTATTTAGTTAATGGTTGCTTTGTTTTAATTAAACATTTTCCACTAATTGCCTAACACAAATGGAAACCAAGAAATGATATATTTTGAGGATATATATAAGTAGAGACAGTCAATTCATTCTCTTAAAAAGTTATGTTCAAACTTGTATCTTTTTATCTATTTCAATCTACTTCTGTTCCTTGTTACGATTGTGTATCTGAATACCATAAAATCCCAAATATAAACCATGAACTTTTAAAGGTTCTTGTAAGTTTCTTGCGGGTTTATCTCTGGGGGATGGGGGCTTACATCTGGGAGGACTATTGGGGTAACAGATGACTTGCATGTGCCATAAAATCATAATTTGGCTTCCAATCAAGGAGATTTACACCAACATACTCTTGGGTGCCTGATAGACTGGGGGGTTGGAATAGTTGGAGGGCTGGAAAAATCTCCAAACCTAATTAGGGGGGGGGGGGGGGGGGGGTAGAATAAGCGGGGGGTTGGAAAATTCCCTTAAATTTAATAACATTTGGGGTATGGACAATTATTTAAACAGTTCAACTTCTTTGGCAACCAACAATAGAATCTAAGAAAAACTAAGAAAAAGAAAAACAACTATTCAAATTAGCAATGCAATGTCTTTGCAATTACTTGAAAGCTAATATTGGGTAGAATTTCTCCCAAAACTTAATAGCCCGGGGTGGGGGGGGGGTGTGGGGGTTGAAATAATAATGTCCTGGGTGAAAAATTTTGGAAAAATTAATTAGTGAGGAGCATCTATTAGGCACCAAAGTGTACTCATGCAAACATTTCACGAAAGAACAAAAGTAATAAGAGGCTCTGCCCAACGCGGGAACAGTCATTTTATTCAGGCTACCTCATGAAACAATTTTTTTATTGAATTTTCACTATACACAATGAATCTCAAAGGGAGGTCCTATGCTTTTATTTGGGGGCCTAACATGCACTAACATGCACTAACAATCAGACACAAAACATGCACTCCCATTGGGGGTAACTGCAATCAACGCTTTAAAGGTAGTGTGGTGTTTGTATGAGGAATGTAGATTTCCCTGTTTGGCATAGTCCCATTGGGTCTGGCTCCTGTGGGAAGCGCCAATATGTCGGTTGATATTTAGCAGGACCCAAAAACTTAAAGATCAACCTGATCAGGATAAAGGCCTATAAAAAATTTAGACTTCTTTCTGTCAGCCAATATTACATTTGGGGACATAAGATTTAAATTATTCATTGTGCCTGCATCTTTCGAGTCTTTGCATTATTTCTTAGAATAACTGTTTCAATTTTCTCTCTAAGCACATACTTGTCGTAAATGGTTTGAGTGGAAGCATCTGATTTTTCGTGCAATTTAATACTCGCCACCTCAATCGACTTCCACTTCATATGCTGATATTTCCTCCATACTTTCTTTGGCCTTTTTTGACGCTGTGTTGTTTGCGTCAATACTGCAATCTTTTGGGTGTCTCTTTCTCTTCATCCTGCCTTCTGCTTCCTTTTCTGTTAATATTGCAAGAACTGGGTCTGGGTTTTCCTCTGTTGGACCCTGGCCGTTGAAAAAGTGGAGAGAACATGTATATATATATCTTTCGTTATCTGTTCCAATTTAGAAAAGTCCTTCCTTCCACAAGCATGCAACCATTCCTTCGCACGCTCTGTTTTTATCTTGGCTTGCTCCAGCTCCCACTTTGTCATTCCTTCGCGGTGTCTTCCTGGCTTTCAAAATGGTAAAAAAACTGTACCATCTGGCATTTGATCTGGATACCTAGAGTCGCTTTTACATACCCCCCAGCAGCAATGCTTCGTTGTTGACCTTTTACTCATTGTTTAAATAGATTTGCTTGTCCGAGTCTCGATCCCATAGTGCACCGCGCCTTGACGTGAGAATCTATTTTAAGCTTCCAAGGAAAGCACTATTCTTCTCGCATTATTCTCGCAAATGCTAACAAATTAGGTGCGCATTTTATCTTTCTCAAGGGAAACCCCTCCAAATTAGGGGTGGACAAAATTGTTATTTAAACATGTCATTCCTTTTTTGCTGGCCGGAGTTTGAGCCAGAAAATGCGTGATGACAAAATTATACATTGATAATAGAACCTGTGTAATATAAGTAATAATTTGTCTGCAAATAATTATAAAGCAACTATACCAACAGCCTGTGCGCAGCCTGAAACACTTCTATCTCGAAGGGTAGAGTCTGCGAATTGAAGTTAAGACATGTTCCCTGAGACAGCAAAGATCATGACCTCATTTCCAAAAAAATTAAATGCATTGATTGAGCGGCATTTGCAGTTCAATTTATTCTTCAATTTATTCTTCAATTATTTTATTGTTTTTTCCTTATCGCTTTATGGTCTGCTTTATGGTCTGGTCTGCTTTATGGTCTGCTTTATGGTCTGCTTTATGGTCTGCTTTATGGTCTGGTCTGCTTTATGGTCTGGTCTGCTTTATGGTCTGCTTTATGGTCTGCTTTATGGTCTGCTTTATGGTCTGCTTTATGGTCTGCTTTATGGTCTGCTTTATGGTCTGCTTTATGGTCTGCTTTATGGTCTGCTTTATGGTCTGCTTTATGGTCTGCTTCATGGTCTGCTTCATGGTCTGTCTCTTTGCTATTGTTAACATTAATCACATTCTTGTTTTTTTCTATGGGTGCTTATAAATGTTTTTGGGAACGATTCTTGGTTTCAATTCAGTCAATAAGCTGATTGGATAAGATGGTTTTAAGAAAAAAATGCAACATTTAACGTTACAGGAATTGTAATTATATAATTAAAATCATTATTTGGTTTGGGACAAAGATGGTGTCAAATAAATGGAGCAATTCAGTTTTGAAGATATGAAATTCGAGTAATTTAGTTGTATTTACTGTTATAGTCAATATCGATTTGTTCAAGCTTCAGAATTTTATCTTCGAGCTCCAAAGGAAATTCTTTGTATGTTTGGGCAACATCTGTCTCCAAAAAGCTTGCCAAGACATCAGCTGTAGCATTTATAGAGAGTTGGTGATTGTTTGTTAAAATGGTTATCTGGCACCTTAGGGTGATGGGGCATTTTGTAATTGGCATGCGGCAATTTATGAACCTTTCCGTACTTGTAGTTGCTAATTTTCTTGTGAAATTTTTGCTTACGCATGTATTGGTAAGGAAAACTTTAGTAGATATTATCTCTGGGCATCAGAACTTCTTTTCAACTACGGCATCTGACATGTATGTTTCCATGTCAACAATTTCTTTGCTGTGAATTTTTGATAATTTGTTATTGATAATTTTATGCCACAGTACTGCTTAATAGCAACATGGCTGAAGCTCCTCTATTTCTCTTTTAGAACGTGGCCAGAGTGGTCTAAAGGAACGTCATCCCTCGCGTATTTTGGTGGGGATGGTTCATCCAGGGGAAATAACTTTTTTCTCCCAATCCACTGTAACTGTCTTTGGAAAGAATAGAGGCTGGAAGTTTGTTTTTCATTTCTTGGACAGTTGGTGGTAACTGATAAAAACGAGTAAAGTTTAGTTTCAAGGAACATTTGAGGAGGTCACTTTCCTGAAAGGAATTGAAGAAGAAGATGCCAGCAGCTATATTTTATAAAGTGACAGGTACACCTCCATTTTGTTTTTGGATGAAGATATCTCGGTTTATATCTTTGTTCCATTTCTTTATTACTCTCACTGCTATCTGTTCTGTTGCGGATACTTTTAATTGAATTGTAAAATAGGGATTTCCTGGAGTTGTGACCTTTTCTTCAGAGAAAAATAGTTGTATATCCTGCAAATTGTATATCCTGCAAATTGAGAGAAACAATCTACTACTGATTTTACGTTGTAGACGGGTGATGCGTCTCAAGCATGTAATATATACTCTTTGTTTTCTAGTCTTGATATTCCGAAAAATCATGACTAGATTGCTTGAAATTTGTTCATAAAAAATTAGGTGATAAGTAGTGAAATTGGTAGTTATTCGGCCCAAGGGAAGATATAAAGTTCAATTTGCTAATAAAACGAACGAGTCATCCATTATTGATGGATGAGTTTGAAAACTGACTGACAGAAAACTGTTCGTTTTTAAAATGGGATTTCTAAAGTCTTTAAAATGCCTTGAACTTGGTCTGGCGTTCTTGTTCAACATCCTAATATGATGTCTAGTTTTTCTACACCCCTTATTAATCTTTATACAAAGGCTGTGAATAATTAAAATGATCAGGCGAATATATAAACGAGTGGTCATGAGTCATCAAAATAGTAGATGTGAGCACTCTTCTGGAATTGGGCTATTTTAGATTAAAAATTGTGTAGATTAAGTAGATTAAACCCATTTCCAAGTGCAGGCATGGAGTTTTGGTGCTCGAGGTCCTCCTGTTTTCAATTAACAAAGAGTTAAAGGAAAAACAAGATTTTCTTATTAAAAACATTTTCTTCTATGACCAGTTCTTGAAGTCATCAAATAAGTTTTAAAAGAGTGCTACCTGCCTTGTCTCTTAGACTGGTTAGTTGTTCTAAGGCAATCTATGTGGTAGAGCTTGTGAACGTATGTTTTGTTTAGAGCAATAATCCTTATTTGAAGTAAATAGAATGCAATGGTAAGGAGACTGGCTGTGATTAATTTGTTTAAAATTTCATACGCAACAATGTTACGTTGACAGGGCCCATGTGACAGAGGAGGGAATAGGGGCCATGGCCCTGGATTTTTCACAGAGTGAGTAATTTCGAATACGCAATAAAAGGTGAACAAGGCCTTAGCCTTACCACTTTCACTAGCATTTCCACCCACTGACAAATTCGTGGCACCCTGGTTGAAGGTAGATATTTTGCTTGTAACTGTTGAGTGTTTAGAATGTACAGCAATGTTTGAGGTAAACAATTTCAAAGAAACCTACTATTGACTGTGATAAGTGAAAATGTCAAAAGTACTTACTATGGCTGGGAGGAAACTGGAGTGGGCTTGTAGTACTGCTTGGAAGAAACTTTTTCTTTTGCTGTGGTGAACTCATGTTGACTAGAAATATAAAAATTTGATAATCAAAGAGAGAAGACGAGTATTTGTTATAAGTCATTTTTTAAAGGTGTTGTAATAAAGGGTGTAGTGCAGGGGTGCTGAGTTCCCTTGTTAAAGCCTGAAATTCGCCAAAATCTTACTTTAGTTATTGTTTTTGAGAACATTATGTGCATGAGCCCTCCTCGTTACTTTGATAGCACTACACCATTGCTAGTAACTATGTTATCATAATTTAGGATCTGAAACTTTAATAAAATTGTGAGTGCTGTTTGTATTAAAAATATGTAAATCAATTTGTATTAAAATTTAGTAACTGTACAGAATGATTTTAATTGTTGAAAAATGGAATATAAGTTCTCAGTCAATGGATTTGACAGAGCCGAGAGCAGTGCAAGATGAGGATAAGTGACATTTACTTTGCAGGAGCAAAGTCATTGATGCAGAAAAGTTAAAATTTGATATAAAATGGTAGTACAATATGGTATTGCACACTTACCTCACGCAAATTGATTTTAAACTGCCTTTCGTTATTGGCGACTTCTTTGTGAGACTATTGAGTGAGCTTTTCTACAAGGTGAAATTTAGAAAACTAAAACCAATATTCTGAATCTAAAACATTTGCATGCACTGCAATTGTCTAAAACGCGTCTGTTTCTCACATTCTTTGAGAATTTTTTACTTTCCCAGCATTCTATCAATCACATCGATTCAACAAACCTTTTCCAGCTCCACATTCCATAGCTAATGATTTTTTGCCAGCTAATTCCATGAGAGTATGGCTTCCTTCACTTGCACAAAACCCTGGAGATTCCATCTGACCATCACCTGCAACTACTAATGTTGTGATTTGTTTGCCACTCTTTCCATATCAATTATACCGACTGCACATGTGATTACTACCAATGCTTTACCTACATAAACTCTATTCATTTCCCCACAAATCCCTACATTTGAAAAAAATACCCACCATTTAAAAGTTTATATGTTACAAATGATTGTTAAAGTTCTGCCCTTGAAGGCCTAATCGTTCAAAAAATGAGGGTGATTGTTTTCTTTAAGACTATATCCCCGGGTATTGTTCACTCATATAATAGGTTGCCAAAAGGTTTCAGAGGGTGATGAGTTAAACAAGCTTTTTTGTTTGTTTGGGGAGTTGATCTGTTTGAAACTGTTTCTGTTTAGCGCTTTGGAGAGTTCCTGTCCTAGTCTTTTTTAGTTGTAATAAATTACCTGTGGATCAAGTTTCCTGCATCAAGACTGAGTGTATAAAATATAGCAGCTATTTCGCTGTCTGCATTTTTTAAAGATGATGTGGTATCTACAACTTGAATTTCGAAGCTATCTTTCTTTGGTTGTCTAAGTAATGCAGCATAACCCTCGACTGAAATATCGTATTTACATTCAATTTTGTTTTTGGAGAAATGGTTTCTTACAAGAATGTCATACGAAAAAATAGTTCTAGACAAGAAGACATTTGACAGGGTGCCCCATTCAATGCATCCATCCCCTAAATCATTGAAGGGAACAATTTGAACGAAACTTTTGCCGCTGCCCCACATATTATTAAGTTTACAAATTGGGTTCAATCTGCCTAGACTAGGAAAATGATGGCGCAAGATATCCAATGCAGCACTAATGACAGAGCAACACAAGGGTAAACCTGATTCAATTTGATTTAGAATAATTTCACTTTTGCAACTTTTCCACTATAGCCTCTGGATTTTCATTATTACTGCTACTCTGTGTGGTATCAAACGAGAGAATATTTGCTGCAAAATCTATTACCACATTATGACTATCAATAACTTTACCTCAGTTAAGATCATCATCAGATATTACAATAGCATTGTCAAAATCAAGGGGTTCCTTGACGTCTAATGGAAAAAGATCATCAATAGGCCCTTCTGTATCTTCAGGTTCGATATCACTTGTTTTAAAATATTGATATTTTGCAGACACCTCTTTTTTAGCTGGGTTTCAAAACTTTTGTTTGAATATGAGGAAAGATTCTGGCGATTGCCGTCCTGTACAAACCGTTGATAAATTCTTTATAGTCAGGTTTTGATGTTTGGTCTTCCTTAGAAAATGAAACTTTCTCAAACCATCAAACCATGGGATTGGATCTATGGATGCTGTCACAAGGAAGGATCTGTCAACAGAATCGTCTGAGCTTTGATCGTCATGAACTTAGTCCTCTTCTCTCGAATGGGCAAGAATTGCACGACCAAATTTAGCAATTTCTTATTTAGTAACAAGTCTTGTTCTTTTCTCAATTTCACAAATAACTTGCCAGTTCCAGTTTGTCAAATCAATGATTAAGCGTAACATAAATATATGCTTAGATGGAGACTTTTTATTGAGAAAGTATCTGTTTAGGTTGAACGAGCCATGAATTTGTTCTGCAACTTGACTATTAATTTGACCATAGAGCTCATTGATGCAACCTATCCTTCGCAGTACCTCAACTTCATTAGAGCTGTTTCCCTCACGAAGTCGGTCAAAAAGGGCCAAATGTTACGCACTATCGGTGATTGGGTGACAGTTAGCATCTGCATCTTTCCCTAGCTTTGAGAATGAATTAATCAAAGGAAATGATAGCTGTAGGTCTCCTTCATTTGCCTTTTGGACATTCTCCTCAGTAGCCTATGCAGTACTGCTTTTGTTTGGTGAAAATGTCAAAATTTCTGTTGCCAAATGCAGCAACAATGTGGGCCATGTCATTTATAAATATATTTGGCCTGTGTTTCAGTCTGTGCAAAATATCTATATAGTCTCTTGGACTTTTAGAGCGAAGCAAGAATTTGAGTGCCTAAATTATTCCCTGATTGCATGCTACTGTCAACCAGCCACCAGAAAATCCAAACATTTTCCGAAAAATCTCATTAAATTTAATGTTGTTCTTATCAAGACCGGT